TAAAATTATTTTACATTTATTTAAATAAACAATTTCTTTTTCTAAGTTTAAATGCTGAGTTTAGTTTTTTTGTCTTTTTCACTTTGTTATTATAAATACCTTCTTATTTATTAACATAACAAATAGGAAGACTTGATTATTTTAATACCTAAATTATTCTAGATTTTTTAAGAGAATATACAATAAACTCGCAGTGAGTGGGGAAAAACATTCGAAGTACATACAATTTTGATTAGTACTAAAACCAAAGATGCTCTTTCTATCTTACTGAAAATAATTACAAATATTATTACTTATATCAAATATTTCATTAAATTAATTAAATTAGTGTTATTTTACTATTAAATGTAATACTTGTAAAAACAAACAGATAAGTAAAAATTATTTTAAATAATAAATAACTTCAAGTTACTTTAGTATATAATATTGGCTTTTATATATATATATCTAAATATATTGGCTGTATATAATTTTATCTTAATACAACAAATTAGTATTTAACTTACGCTCCATATTTACCATGTCTTCAAGCTGAATGAGAAAAATGTGAGCTGTTGACTCCCGTCCCTCCATTGTTTTGAAACGTCTATTAGCCAAAGTTTGGCTTCTAATTATTCTTTTATACTCTCATTTCGTGGTTGCTAAAATTTTCTGTTTATTAGTTAAGCTACATTAATTTCTAAGTTTGCGTTTCAGTTGTTACTTGAATTTGAAGTCCTACAACCCTACTAGACGCATAACGAGTTATTGCTACGTTGAAAATAGTATGACAGAAACTTGCTACGTTTTATGCAAAATGTTTAAGTTGAACTTTCACATAAAAGGCACACATTTTGCTACAAATAACCACTACTTGCAATAATGTCAAATAATCAATAAAAATGCTTAAATTTAAACGTTGACAAAAGTAGTTTATGAATAAACTAAGGCAATAACCTAAGCTATAAGCTGGCTCAACTGTCTTCAACCGGCATGTAAGTTTTAAAGCAACCAGCTGCGAGAGAACGCATAAGTAAAAAAATAGGGTTACAGGTTTATTTCCATTTAACACTGAGGTAAATGGCTATCTTACAATATTGGAGAAATTGTAAGTAGGCTTAACCCTGTGCCCCTGTGTTTCCAGCGATACTTCTCATTCTGAGAGATACAAAATATAATTTATGTACAATTTCACTATTATTTACATATATACAAAATTCGGAACAATATGGATAATAGCTCTTGATCAGATAGCTACTCCGATAATAGATGTTGAAAGTTACAATAACAGACCAATCCGCTGGTTGGATGAAAGAAATGTTTGGTTGCAAAAAAAGGTAACTCTCAACTTATCCTTTACATCGGAAGGATGTAGAGGGGGGTTGTTAAAAATAAATGAGTTTTAAAGCGTATATTTATCTTTATACAGTACGTTCACAGCAGTCGTCATCGCAAAAGTAAAATTCAAACTTAGCTCTTTTTTTTTTATCCTAGCTTCCACGTCTGAGCGCCACACAACAGCCAAATACTCCTTAACTCTTGAGTGCTGTAGAATTTTTGGTGTGCAAACGAATAGAGGCGTGCTTTCATAATCGCTAGATTAATTCCTAACAATATATGAACTCTTCTTTGGGGGTTTCAGTCACAGTGCCCTCTTTTATTCCACTGGCAGAAACATTTATTTGGCATACAATTCCACAGCAAACTCGTTCCATCAAAATTTAAAAAAAAAAATTAAATGAATAAAGAACTGCATAACATTCGCCACAATTACAGCTCAAAAGTTTGCTGGTAAATCCCATTCAACAACAATATCACTTATTGCAGCTTCGACTATTAGCTGTTATGAAATCCATGTCATTGTTTAAAATCCCCGACCCTGGTAAACACTCGAAACAAACGTTGGCACTTTAGAATCTGATTTTATAACGTTCACTTCACCAAACAAACTTCTAGCTTTGACCTGTATAATCAAAGTAGATAAAGAAATGGTACAATAATTCTGATTTTCAATCTGCTGGAGCAAATTCGTTTCCAATTTTTCCGTCGTTCGGTGCTTCAATTTTTTGTTACTGTTGTATTTATTGCTGACACTCTCGCCGCTCTTTCAAAATTCTCTTTTATTTTCTATGCTTAATTTATGATGCTTCTTAACGTTGATCCTGACATTCCTTCACCAACAGTACATTCTTTATTTTCATACATTTACACACTTTAGAGCTTTTTTCTGCTTCTGATATTTAAAACGATTTCACTTTTTTCCATCTCTCTGAAGAAATGAAGGATTTACTACAATGCGACTAGCTAACTCAACTAGTTAATATTTACACTGGTACTGATAAAATACGCGAACCCAAGGTCAGCCACGCTGAACACTGGTAGTTCGGTCCGAGGTTCGAATTCCGCGAACGAGCTGGCTGCATGGGCGTTTTCGTGGTTTTCCCCATGTGTAACATGTATACGACCCAGTTTCCAGGAAAATCCTCCACGAAGGCATCGCTCCCCTTAGACAGATAGCCCTAGTGTGCTTTGCCGTAATTAAATAAACCAAAGCCAAGGTCAGCCAACACTGTACAGATACTGCAAACTTACTGTAGAATTTGCTCACTTTTTTCCATTGGGGAAGGTTAGCAGCTAAATCATGTTAGAGCGAAAACGCATAAAGTGAGATAACATTTGTGAAATACCTGCAATCCGTAATCAAGTCCGTTTAAATGTTGCCCCGGTTCAGCACGGAACTTTGATAAACTGAGTAGTTAGTTATCTTTTCCATCTTAACAAATGATTCGGTCGTTAAATTCTACAGTTACCGCGACAGCACACCCTGAAGTAAAATCCACCCTGGGAACGTTTATACATATTTCAGATACGCCAGAAAGCAATCGAGATGCTTGGTATAGTTCGACCGTTTCAAGCGCAACCCTGGTTGACATTCCACCAAAACACATAGACTCGTCCAAGAGGGGCGGTATTACGTGCTGTGACGTGAACGGTCTTCTCTTCTCAGGAAATCCCCATCCTTCCACCCTATTTTGAGAATAATTCGGTCAGAATGGCGCATGCGTATTTGCGCTCATGGTCGCGGATAAGACGGTCGAACTATACACCCTCTGAGAAAATTCGACTGACCTTTCCGAACATGAACCTTGACACGGATACGGCGATTCTTCTGTGCAGAGATTTAAACGTAGACATTAAGCAAAACAAGTAATTTATGAATTTTATTAAACCCAAATTAAATTCTTATTATATTAATTAGAAATTTAATATAATCTTTGCAAATTGTATCCACACCTAACATTCACTAAAATGACTATTTAATATTCCATTTTATGTTTCCTTTATTAAAGCTTAGAATTATGCACTTTTAAGAGACATCCTGTACAAATATACATTTTTTCTTTTAATTGGAGATGTTTTTTACAATTTGGATATTGTTTGAATTTTATCCAAATATATAATTATTTTTTTATTTTGCCACGGCACATTTTTAGATTATAATACACATTTTTCACCATATGTAAAGCACATTTGGAAATGGATCATATTTCTTGCCAAGAGTAGTCTTGTTTGAAAAATCAATATAGTATTAAGTTTAATGTATATTATTTATACTACAGTTTGAAAAATCGATTTATTAAGTTTAATGTATAAAGTCAAACAAATTAGAGAAATAACAATAACGGTAAAGCTTTCCTGTAATTTATTATTCTTTTCCTAAGCGCATTTTCATAAACTGTTCTGAATTACTAAACTACGCAAATCTAAAGTAATGATTTCACATTGATCTAGAGAAATAGATCTATAAAATTCGGAAATAATAAAAAAATATAGTTAGATAGACATAGTTGCATTGTGAAACAGGAGAAAGAAGGAATTTTCAAATAATTCCAGAAGTTCTGAAGGCGAATAAATTGCACTGAAAATGATCGAAAGAATATTTTAAAAATTATTTTATTTTTTTTAATGAAAGCGTAGCGCAAGAACTTTTTTGTTCTTCGAGTGTTGCATGGATATTAAATTTTGGTTTATGAAATTTACTTCTATTTCATCCCATGAGGTTTTAACAATAGGAGTTTTCTCTTTTCAGAACTAATATTGAATTTTTTTAAAAATTCATTATTAGTTCATTTCAGCCCTAATGAAATGCATAAATTGATCTTTAATATTGCTTTTTACCGCTGCATATTTTATTAAGGATTTTCTGTTTCGTATTATATTAGTACGAATAATATAAATCGTGGATATTTATTTAAGAAAATAAAGATTAAAACATTGTGATCGCACGTAAGGAGAGACAGTATTACATAGATACTAACAATTCTTAAGGCATGCTATAGTAACGCAAATTATTAAATCATAGTTAATATATTTACTGATGGTAAATGAGGAAGTTGATTGAGTTTAAATTTATAATTTGACACTGATAATAGGCAAAAAAGTGAAAAAAAAGACTCATCGCATCCTTTGCGTAGTGTCATCTTTATTCAAAATGAATAATAATGCTGCCATATACATAATAATGTTATGTCGGAAAAAAGAAGAAAAATAATGTTTCAATAGGAAAACAAATTATATAATTATTTTATTTAGCAGATGTTAGTTAGTTGCTCGTTTTTTTTTCTGAATCTAACTCAAAAGGTTTCGTTAATTTTGTTTAAATTCGGCATTTATACCCGACATTTTATACGGTATTAATATACATGTTTTCATATATTGATACACTGCAGTGCAAATATGAAGAGGTCTTAAATTTTAAGCACAGCTTCACTAAAATTTGAGTATGTATATTTCAAGTTATTATGCCTTGATTATTCGTAATAACGTTGATTTCAGAGTATATATTATCAGCAAACGCTACGCAGGTATACGAGAATTTATAAACATCTGTGTGTGGAGTGATTATGCTTTTATTGTTTTCTAGTTAGTCAACATTTGTATTTCAGATATTCAGTACTCTGAATGACTACTTCATTATACAATGAAAAATACTAAAATAAATTTTATTTATTATCTTGCAGATAGCTACGTCATTATAGAAAACAGTAAGCCGGATGTCACTGGCGAAGCAGCAACTAAGACAGAAAGTGTTTATTGGAAGAAGTTGCCACTAAATTCCTCAAACAGTGAAAACTTTACTAACCCAAGGTTAAAAATTAAGGTAATATAAATACGTCATAGTATATTCAATGGTTTATGTACTTTCATGACTTAATCTCATATATCTGCTTTATTAATCCGTTAAACACAGTAAAATACAAATTAATTTTGTAGTAGTATTATATACCCAAGAAGAAAGAGAGAATTAGATGCATTAATAGATAATAAACGGGATATTAATCATGTTCATTTCTGTGAAAATTCTTTCAATATAAGATTTTAAAAAAGTCCGATATATCCTTTTTCAAGTAATCAAATACTTAAGGAAGATATGCTTTTAAATATCTTCCTTAAGTATTTGATAATAATAATAATAATTCCTTATTTTAAATACTTCCTTAAGTATTTAAAATAAGGAAGTTTGAGGAATTTAAGCAAACTAAAATTCTAAGACTTCTTACTAAATTATATTAGATATGTACTTAAAGTGCATACCATAGCTGAAAAGGCAGACATCTATACGATGAGATCTTTCATTCATTAAATGGTCTAGCATATCATGGTCGACATCAATAAAAATGTGCTAAAATTGTCAGGATCCAGGTGATTAATACTGAGTACAGGCAGTATAACAGTAATTTTAGTTAGTTATATTTAGGCAGTATAACATTTAGTTATATTTAGGCAGTATAACATAAATATCTTTATCTGATAGTAATATTTAATATAAATTATTAATTATTGCCTAAGATTATTGGAGATACTAATGCTACAAAAATCAATTAAAGTTTCCTAAATTTGTAGGACTAGTTTCGAAAGTAGAACTTTCTCCTTCAGTAGGCTCAAGAGACACCAAAAAAACCGAACTATTTGGGAATGCTACATCGAAAAAGGAATGCTACTAGCGCGACATCTATTGATAAAAATATAGAAAACTAACAAATAATTTATTTAAAACCAGAAGTTAAGGCAGGATTACAATTTGTATCCTTATCTAAATAGAACTGAAAGATTTTTATGAATATAAAACGCCTCTAGAAATCTTAATTCACCAACGGAAGTTAAAATATATTTTTATCTTAGCTTAGTATCTCCAGTAATGATTACTGGAAATAACATGGATCGACTAGATTATTTAATGTATTATTGTAACTCAAATTGCTAAAGCCGTTTTTAAACGAATTTCAGACTTTCTGGTCAATTTAAAAAAGTAATTACTTAATATATCCTTATTCATAGTTCCATGGAATGCTTCAAAATTTCATAACAAAAGCATTCCGATAACAATGACAAATTTCTTCCCAGCAAAATTTAAGCAAACTAAAATTCTAAGACTTCTTACTAAATTATATTAGATATGTACTTAAAGTGTATACCATAGCTGAAAAGGCAGACATCTATACGATGAGATCTTTCATTCATTAAATGGTCTAGCATATCATGGTCGACATCAATAAAAATGTGCTAAAATTGTCAGGATCCAGGTGATTAATACTGAGTACAGGCAGTATAACAGTAATTTTGACAAACTTCAATAATAAAAAAATTACACGTTGAAATAACATTATTTATAATTCCGTAAAAAACTGAAATTTCATAACTTTTTATGATAATTCTTACACCAATAATGGAAGGCTCTCTTCAAGTTTCCGCCTCGTGAAAACTCGTCCGCTTAGTTATTTATTTAAATTACAAAAATTATGGCATTAGACATGATTATGGTGTTTTTTTATACGCTATATTTCAATTTTCTAAAAGGATACCTCATAGAATGAGATATTTGTATAGTGTTAAGGAATAAAGAACAGTCATTGTATGCTATGAAAAATGGAAAAACCTCGTCTCTTTTGATTTTGTAATGATGGTTTCAAGCAGAATTCCAGAAGTCAATGCCTATTTTTTAAATTATTGCAAAATTCTGCGGCGAACACTTGGTGTGCCCAACTTAGTTCTCGAAGAAATATTACACTTCTTGTTGAAATTATTCAAGATACTGCTTTTGACCTCCACTCTCCAGCTGATTGCAATCGTATCATAGATGCTATGGCTCTGTCCATCCTGATATGCCTGCTTGACTATGGGACGAAACGGGTTATCTCGCAGATGTCTACAGTATCAACTATGATCTAAATATTGATCATTTTATATATACAAAACACATTGTAAATTTATTTATATTCCAATCTGAAAAAGTTTGATTTATTTCGCAATTTTTACAAATGGACTTTTAAACGTTTTTCACAGAATATGAATATTCTTGTAGTATTTATATTTTTAAATATTCTTCTTCCAAATGCATCTTCTGTTCCAACTTACATTTTCTTTGATCCATCCTCTGTGTTGTATTTTGATAATAATTGCATAAATTTATGCAAATTATTTTAAGAGGATAGCGCTGTTAAATCACATGTTTTAGAAATTTACAGGAAGACTATAGATAGCAACATATTTAAACAAGTAAACCCAAATCCATACACGTTCATGAAAAGAGAAACTGCAGCCCAGAAAGAGTTTATTTAAAAGCATATCTTCTCATAATATTAATAAAATACTTGAATTGAATGCATACAAATATAAGAAATGGTAGAAATGGAAAACCAGCTAGTGTGAGTAACTGAGTTATGTTGTCAGCAAATGGCTTGATCATTTTATTGTAGACCTTTAAATCTGTGTTTGCAATTGAAATATGGCCTGAACATATTAAAAGTCTCTTTAAACCCCCTGCACCTTGTTAGCGATAAGACGAATATACCAGAAGATAACATTAGTAAACTATTTATATTATTTTTGATGTTTTAATCATGCAGCTATTTTGAATTATGAAACTTTCGTGTTTATCTCATGTCAAGATGCTACTTTTAAGCCATATTTATGCCTTGTATTATAGGTTACACTACTTCATTAGTATGTTACTTAATACATTATTTTCAAATAACGCATTAAATTTATATGCAGGTATGTGTAACTATAAAGTACTGAAGTGCTGTACGAGAAAATATTGGTACTACTGGGCTCACACATTATGAGTAAACAGGAATCAATTTACGGAAATGTTTGTAAAAGAACATAGCACATTGAAACATGAATTTAATCAGACGTTCTGGCATTTGCATAATTATGAAATCATAATTAGTGTTTAAATCTTGCTCGCATTACATCTATTAATACAAATTAATGAATGTACTGTAATGTTTTAATGTATCCAAATTATTAGGGTATATTAACATACTATGAACCTTCTACTGCATAAAATGGCATATTTAAAAATAAAAATTCAACAATTAATATTTAAGTCACAATTTTTAATAACGTGTTTTAACTAGCTTTTTATGTTTTTAATATATCAAGCTGTATTCTAATTTAAAACGTAACATGATGTACACATAAGTAATTCTGACACTAATATTGTGTTTGCTGTTTACAAATGATCCCAATATAACTTTTAGCAGTTTAGCTTCCCGAGTGAAGGAAAAAGTATTTGATAAAAATTTGAATTCTTTTGCATTTGTAACACAGCTTATATCATTATATTACTGGCTCAAAGCGACATTTGTTTTAATAATATATGTTACGCTTCAGGTGGAAAGTTGTTTAATGAAACGCGCATTTAAAACATAGGATTTCAGGTTTACAGACTTATGCCTTATCTATAATATATTATGAAGCTCATATTTACTGAAAATGCATGGCATTGTTTTATTGTTGTGTTGTTTTAATTTTAAAATGCATAACTATGAAATAAGCTAAAAATGCAGATTTGAAATTTCGACATGGTGCCGAAGACATGCGTTTGACAACAGATCCAGTTACTCTTGTCTCAAGGATACTAAGTTTTATTATCATTACTGAACTAATTGCAACAATGGTATTGCTTTGAAGTTCTAAGGATGTCAAAGCGTTAAGAATATCAAATTTCGACCACAATTCAGTTTTAAAAATTGAAATGAACTTCAGAAATTTATTTTTCAACTTTCATGTTATATTTGGCTATTTCCGTCATTTGACAGATTTTTTTTACTATTTATACTTTCAAACATAAATACATGACAAGTCATGCATGAATGTATTATGAAATACTAATTGCCACATTTATCAAGTACAAGACATATTGTTTGCAAATATGCAGTATCGGATGAAAGTAAAATAGCAGCAATTTTGTAATATGCTACCAAACCTAGTGTTGAAATTCGTTTGTACCTCCCACTAAAAGAACATTTTCGATGAAAAATTAGGAAAGGATCACATCTCCCGACAAGATATATTTTTCCGCAGAATAAAGAAGCGAACGGCGTTGCGCTCGCTATTAAAAGGAAGTGGAACGTTAAAAATGGAACTTTCCGTTGTCGAAACTCAGGCATTTGTTTAGCCATTAGTTTTATACAGCGTTTCCAAGATCAAAAGCTAAGTCTCGACTAATATATCATTTATAAAGCCATCTTTTCTTGAAAACGCTTGGAATCTCAAAAGATGCTTCTTCTAGTCTTTGTGTTTCGTAAATATTGTTGCTGCTCTCAGACAGAAATTGATTTCGAAAGAACTTTTTCTTTTTAATTTATGGTATCTTCTGTCTTTCTTCACTGAAGAACTTTATTAAATTTAGCGGAACATTTTATGGATCATATTATTTTTGAGAAGAGGGGAAGCAAATGTTTTCACGATAATACTTTGGAGTAATACAGAAAGGCTAAATAAATATCATTCCGAAATTCTTTTATGCTGACTTTTGTTTGTTGTATTTAGATAGTGATTTCAATTTTCTAAGAACATTCATTCTAGCGAGGGCTCTTTTTTTCTGTTTCGAAATCTAACTCAGTTTTGTTTTCCTAAGCCGTCATTGTGGAAGTTTTCCTCATATCTACCTTTTAGTTTAAAATTCGACATAATTCTATTCGCAAACAAATAAAACATATTTATTGCCTCTTTATACAAAAGATACGAGTGAAGCGAAGGAGAAGGACAACAATAAAAATATCTTCGAGTACTTTAAAAGAATCCCTTTCGGTCCATATCCATGTTTACAAAACTTTAAAAAGTATCATTTTGAAGATAATTCGTTAGTTT